GTGACTTTTCGCAACAGCACCCAAACTGACTTGGTTGGCATGAAGCGTCCGTATCCACAACTTCGGCAGACGCAGAAAACCGTGCACTGCAGTAAGCGAAGAACAGCAACTTGCCAACAACAGATACGGCTTCAGATTGTGTTAGGGCAATCTAAATCCACACCCAAGCAAGATCGCGCCAGAATGTGTGGCTATGTCAGCTGTTAGGACTCAATTCATCCACACGAAGAGCTTCGGCGGACATAGGTTAGCATGTTCTGCTTTCATCATAGGCACTCGGCTCACCCTGCCTCTCCAACATGCGGACAACAATGTCGAAGGGCCAATCCAACCTCAACGTGACTTTCCGCAACAGCAAACAAAGCGATTTTTTGATATGACAGACACAGCAGTGTCAACTAAACCAAGCTACCCGAGCAAACTTGCAGGCATATGTAAAACTGTGCACCGCCTGACTGATTCTGCAGCTCTTGCAGCATACACAGCCATTCAACACAAAAGACCCGTGCGTAGTGTGGACTCTCAAGATGGCAAACTGATATCGATGAGTACACAGGACCTGGGCTGCATCCAAAATTCGCAAACAAAGCGACTTGGTTGGCACGCCGCATCCTTATCCACAACTTTGGCGAACACAATACCGAGTGAATACTGCCCCTGTGGTCATCACAGGCCAAAGACCATCGAAACTTGCCACTTAAGCACAAGCTATCGATGACTACAACTCACCAACTCCAGATACTAAGGACAACTTACATCTTTGGTGGACATCAGTTAGCATGATCTTGCAGCAACGGTTCACAAGCGGGCAAATTGCCTCTCCGTCATGCCAGACCCTTGCATGCCAGGAACCTGCGAGGCCATGTTCTAAAGTAAAACAACGTCGAAGACCTGGACATGAACCGGTCATCATGTCCAGGCATGCGTTGCTTGCTGCACAAGCTGCCAGCAGTCAGGAAAGCCTCGCAACAACATCAGAGCCTCATGTGACCTGGATACAGCAGTTGCCATCAAGCCAGCAATGCGGGCACGTACTACGGCGCACACAACTCAGGCAGCATTGTGCTGCAGCTTCGCATCTAAGGTTAGGGAGCAGTGCTCAAGATTTGGGATGCAAGTCTTCGGTTAAGGGTAAGGGTGTTGTTTCCTGCATGTCACTTGCAGACTTGCAAAGGAAGTTTCTATCCATAGCTGCAATCTGACATTACAAAACCAATTCTGAATGCACGGGAAGGACAACCTGCACGCCACATCTGCCTCACCGCTGCAGAAACTTCGAACCACAGTGGAGCCGGCATGCATTCAGCCAACGAAATCACAGTTCACTTCAGAAGCATTTCCCAAATCGGTTCTTAAACCAGCCCGGTTTAACAAACCGCTCACTTCCGTAGCCTGGTCAGCACTCCTAAAGACCGACTCCATCACCCGACATCGTCGACCCGTGGCTCCCTTCTTCATTCGCAGAACATCTTAGGATGAGGGAGATGCAACCAACAGCAGCAGCTCTCCTCTTCGCTACATTGCGCCACCTAATGCATCGGTACAGGAAGGGCGTGCTGCCGCCAACCAGTGAACTGTCACTGGCAGTCACACAGCAGACTTCAACACGAGGTGTTCAGCGGGCGTTCTGGGCATCAAGATTCTGCAATGTGAACAGCCCTACCTACGACCTCAGAGCATGAACCTTGCTCGCCAGAACTCACTCACTGGGATGAGCATCCACAGTTCAGGGTCGTGGTTGCTTGGCTTTGGCCTATTGCCAAACAAACGAATTGTGGTGTGCTGACAGTGGGCAAAGCCTTCCGCAAGCACGCTGTAGAAAGTGTGTCACTAGATCCGAACTGCATGAAAGGGGATGCCTGGATTCAATCAGAACTAGATTTGAGTTGAAAAGAGAAGTGGCACATGTGGCAGCCCGCTTGTGGCCGCCAAACTTCCAATCAACGTCCCGCACCTCTTCGAGAACGCGGTAGGTGCCCTGGCAAGTGCGAACGATTACGGTAGCGTTTGAGGAAGGCTGGGAGTTCCAACTTAAACCCTTTCCAATTTTCCCCTCAAAAATTACAACCTATCAGGCTCAGTCAGGTCAAGCCGGCAGACGTCCGGACATGGCTTCTTCCTAACAACCCCACGACATTCGACGGCTGCTAAAGTGGCAAAAGATAAGAGCCGAAATGCAATCAAAGCTAGTTATTTGATTGTTCAGTTTGGTTTCACGTTGAGTTCGGTTTCAATTGCCTTTAATTTCGGTCTTGTGCTGATTCTCTTCAATTCCTTGAGGGATGCAGTTCTAAGAATTGCTAATACGTGCGAGCCGAGGGCTCTCGGCTTTGATCTCATTTCAACATTTCCAAGATTATTCCGGTTCTTAGGTTGGCTTTATGTTGGTTCTTTAGACTTTTGTTCGATTCTGTGTTCATTGCCTTAGCATTGTCGTTCGGGTTTGTGTTGATTCAAGCCGCCATGGGTTACTAGCATTGAAAGATCCGGACATGCAGTTGTCCAACTCAAAACCCTTTCCTCTTTGAAATGAAGTTTAGCCAGACATTCCCTGCCTCGTTCTACTTATCTCCGTCTAGCAGCGCCGCCACCGCCACCGCCAGAGCCACCGCCCCCACCTCCCCACCAACCCCAACACCACCACGATGAAGTCCAGCACTAGCCTTGACTACCCTGCCATCTTTACGCCTTACACACATCGGCATCGGTATGCATGCGTGCTTCTGCCACTGCTATACTGTTGGACCAGGCTATCGGTATCCATTCCATCAAGCGCTGAAAAATGGCCGCTCCATCAGGACCAGTGGAAAGCCGCCAACTCGCATGAGAACTTCACAACAATCGGCACTAAATGGTACAAGCCTTCATGCGAGAAAAAAACATCTACATTCCCCTCCCGGAGGGGTGGCCTGGATATTGCTCGGCAAAACCTCTGAAATGAAGTCGGCACTCGGCCTGGCAGCGTGACTGCAGATACGTAGTGGGGCGCACGGCACAAGCCGTATCAAGCCGTGCAAGCCCAAACGGGAGAGAGAGAGCAGGGGAGAGATAGACATTGAAGCATGACGACTTTCCACTTGAGGATGCAGATGGCCTTCCGTCAGCCGCAAGGTGAATAATCGTATCGCAACCATCAAAAGCTCCGTGAAGAGCGCCCTGGTCAGCTCGCTCAACCAAGGAAGCCACCACATCCGACCCCAAC